CTGGATCCCGTGCTCCAGGCAGTAGAGCTCCCAGCAGGCATTGCCAATCTGGACACCAGCCTGGCCGACATGGATGGAGATGCACTCACGCTGTGAAGAGAGAAAGAGATCAGTTAACAGGAGGAACTGTGCTGGCTGAAGATCAGAAGAGGAAGAATCCTGTAACTTACTCATTTCTGTGACCTCAGCTTGGATACAGTGTCAACCACCTGCAATGCATCAATCTTGATTTCCTCTCTAATTTACTTGATCAATGACATTGATTTAACTGCCTCGGTTAGACTATTTTAACACTATTTCAGTATTTAAAATATTTTGATCAGGCTGCTGTTCTGCACAGAAAGACAAATCCATAGAAATCTCATCTTTTAATGTAAACGCTTATCTGTTTACTTTAAACTTTAAGAAGGGACGCCTTAGGACTTTTAAATAGTGTAAGAAAAGGCTGATTTATAATCCAGTCCAGTATTTACTGACAAATTACCAAGCATTATTTCCTGCTGTTATTTTTTCTTTATTAGTGATTGGCCTTCTTGCAAGAGCCGTTTTTCAACAACTCATCTGTATTTCTGTACTGATTCCATCTTAATACGTTTTTCTTTAATAGTTACAGACCTTTACAAAGCCTGGCCCTTTTTCCCCAGTTGATTTTCTGCCGAGTAGTTTGACCTAAATCCTTTGTTTTCTTTTATAAAAAAAGAGGCATCTTCTCGTTTTTCTCCTTCCCAGCCACAGTACTGAATTGTGCTCTAGTGAGCAGCACAATAATGAGCCCTTTGAGGAAAAACCTCCATCGTAACTCCAGCAGGCCTCCTGCCCTCTTGACAGTCTACAAGCAGGTGTTACCATGTGGGCTACTCTCTTCATATTAGTGTGGACCACAACTCTTTTCACTGAAAATGTATACCGCTGTCGGGCAGTTATGCTACTGTACATCCAAGACAAAGAGCCTTGCTTTTACTTCATGGAATCATTGCTTGACCCGGTTAACAAAAGCACAGCAAGAGAGCGGAGCCGAACTGCAGAAGACCCTTAATACTTGAAAGAGTCGAACACGAAGGTTTGGGTACCAGTCTGCGCTCGCTGGCTGGCTGGCTGGCTGGCTGTGTGCAAGGCTTGGAGCTCTGGAGGAACGATCCAGCCTGCGCGGCGCTCGGGGCGGCTGGCGCGAGCTCACGCACATAATGGGTGGGGGTGAGAGCGCGCCAGACAAAGGACGGCGCGTTCGGAGCGCCGCGCGCCCGAGCCAGGCGGCGCGCGCTGGGGTTCTGCTCCATCTCGGCGCCGGCCACAGCACTCCCCGGGGTCCGAAACGGACACACGGACAGCCGCCCTGACAACGCGCAGCGGAAGCTGTGTGACATTTTAGTGCTCTGGAGAGCACTTCACATGAAAACAAACCGGCTTTCGGTCTTTTTTTCAGGCGCCGCGCTGCCGCTGACGGATGAAGTGCGTGCCAAGTCGGCTCGCATTTCTGTTGTCCTCGACAGCTCCATCCATTCGACTTCAAACTTAAAAAAAAATAGAAAACACACACCTGTCCGTTCCCATTTCTGTGATTTATCCAAGAAACGGACGGGCGTGGGGGTTGTAAAATCCGAAGTGACAGGACGTCTTACTGCGAGAGGCGGGGAACACCCAGATGTGTCCCAGATAATTTATTCCGCTCACAGCGCATTCCTGTCAAGTGCGCCTTTGTCTGAGACGGGGTTTCTCGGACCACATAGCCCAGTCCTCGCCAGTGAGGCCAACACTGGTCTATTGTTACTGGAGCCTTAGAGGCGAGGGGTTCCGGCATCGCACAATTTCAGACAGCTCCGTGTGCCGCTGGCAGTACGTCAAAATACTCTTGTTTCCCCTTCATCTCGTTATTTGGATTTTTTCTATAATGCATTTTCTACAAAAGCAACTGCCCTAGTCGTGAAAATGCTTTACCCTTCCAAAAATCCCGCCCCCACCACCCCTTCCACGTCTGTTCAGCACATGAAGCGGAGCCCTCTGAGCAGGGTGACAAGTTACAGCGACAAGACAGCCAGCCTCGCCGCGCATTCCAGAAAACTCCACAGTGCTGCTCTTTCTTTCTACAGCTCAGACTACCATTTTCTTTTCAACACGCAAGGTAGCAAAGCAACCCCATTGTTCTGAAATGTGAAAGCCCTCGCCTTACCATTTTCTATGCCGTCTGGAGTTCTTGTCTGGCAGGCGAGCGAGGGGGAAAGAGCCCGTTCAGAGAGTCTTCTCACAACCCGACAGCAAGGAGGTCGATGCAAGAGAACGTGAAGCACATGGGTGTGAACGGCTTATTATATACATGCGTTGCCGTGGCGACTGCGCCTGCGATTTTATCATTGGGCGACGTGTCTGCTGTCTGCCCGGAGACCTCGGCGGATCTGATTTCCCATTGGTTAAGGCACCACCCCGGCTGGACAAGCCCCTCCTGCCGACCCCCACCTTGTCCGGACAATAGAGAAAACAGTTATCTGTCGCTCACTTGGGTAAAACTGCCGCTGCACACCGGTATACAGCATTAACAGCATCAGTTCATCATGGTCTAGCAACACTAATGGAGGAGGCATATCTCTGAATAGGACTAGTGATACACATGGATTGATGCATTTAGGGGATATTCTGCCATATTTTATATCAGCAAAGTGTATAATTAATTGTGAACAATAGGTTTAATCCATGCTGAAAAGAGAAGAGAGAAAACACAACGTTTCGGCTGTGGAGCCTTCTGGCTCCTTCTGGCTCCACAGCCGAAACGTTGTATGTTCTCTCTTCTCTTTTCAGTGTGGAATAAACCTTTACTTGTTCCTTTGCAGCCTGCACATGCTGACGCAGCTCCCCACCTGAACTAATTAATTGTGATACTATTCCTACAGGACCGTGACGCATAGTTCATGACTGATTAGAAAGTCTATCAATTGAGATATGTAATTAATACTTGGAGGGTCCCAGTACCTACAGAAGTAATTCAACTGTGTCAAGTC